TAAAAATTTTGGTTTTAAATAAATATTTTTTCCCAAAAAAATAAAAAAGCTTTTGAACATATGCTAAAAATAAAAAGTTAGTTAAAAGTGTATAAATATTATTTGTTATAAGCTTAACCTATCATGCTTGTTTGTTCTATTTTGCTAATTATAAAAATATTGGTGGGACCCTACGTGCCAGACTAGTGAACAACGTGCAAAATCTTGGGCTTTAATTCTTGGCCCACACCGTGACACCGCTTACTCTTTTCTGTCGAAGTGAGCATCTTTTCTCGGCAGAACCAGTTCTCAATAAGCCTTTATTCGACTTCTTTAGGGAGGAAGAAGTGGGACGAGTTGTATACATCGGTCTTAACACAAAAACACATGACAAATATGTAAAATAATATTCCGCAAAATCAAATCACGCCCCTTATTAGGGTTTTATCTAGGGTTTATTTTCAACAACGTCGCGAAGAAGTCAAAAGGAAAGATGAAAGCATTACTTCATTTCAATTCCCACGCTCCTTGAATCAATAATTTGGTTTCACCTGTGGATTTTTTTTCCTTTTCGTGAAATTCAATAAATGGAAGCTAGAGTTGGGATGTCGGCGCATGGAGGAGTTGTGGACGGTGGTGCATCTACCAGTAAGTTAATACACCATCAGCATTCGCGGCCGCAACGGCAGCAGCAGCAGCCTGTTACGCAGATTGGAACTGTTCCTCAACTCCTCTCCGGTGGCATCGCCGGAGCTTTCAGTAAAACCTGCACCGCTCCTCTTGCTCGCCTCACTATCCTCTTTCAGGTGTTGTGGTTTTTTCTTTCTTTTTCTTTATCTCCTTAAGTTACTAATTATAAAGATATTTGATCACGACGGCATTTTTTTTTGGTTATGATTTGAAGTCATTGCAAGGTTATTGTTTACTAGGGGTTTTTGTGGGTGAATGTTCTAATTGCAAGAATGATATGAACAAAATGAAAAGAAGGAAAAAGGAGCTCCCTAAGGATCTCCAAATGGTTTGAAGGAATTGATGTGTATCTGTACAAACATATTTGGGCAGAATAGTGTTTGGGGCCGTAAAGATTTGAGTTTCTTGTTATATTAATAGGTATACTAAAATTGACAGTGCAGATTTGGGTGTCCAAAATTGTTTTGATGTTGGGGAATATAATACCCTATAATTTTTACTACAGTGTTAAAATTTTGGATTTTAGCCATTTGTTACCTCAGTAAAAGGTTCTCTGTACTTGCTCCTTTATCATATTGTAGCATCAGTTACTAAATATTAGCTAATTGGTCTTTTATCTCTCCTTATTTATATATTTTCAGTTTTATTAATTTGAAAATTACTTGCTGGCTCTGCTTTAGGTACAAGGTATGCACTCTGATGTTTCAGTAAAGCCTAGCATATGGTGTGAGGCCCTACGTATTGTTAATGAGGAAGGTTTTAGAGCTTTCTGGAAAGGGAATTTGGTTACAATTGCTCACCGGCTTCCGTATTCTTCGATCAGCTTCTATTCTTACGAACGCTACAAGAATGTGAGTTTTGTAAGATTAGGATTACAGTTTTAATTCCATTCAAACATGTTTAGTTTGCTGCTTTGCGGGTTGCATATTGCCTTTGTTACTGATTCTAGAATCTTTTGCAGATTTTAAAATCTATTCCAGGACTTGATGGTTATGGGGAAAATGCAAGTGCAGATGTTTTTGTGCATTTTGTTGGTGGTGGTTTGGCAGGAATGACAGCTGCTTCTGCCACATATCCACTGGATCTCGTCAGGACACGGCTTGCTGCACAGGTACAGTAATCATAATGTGTATGTTTGTTAGCATTTTAAATTCATGCTTTCCCTCACCCACGCTGCCACCCAGTCTGCCACGCCCAGCAGATGCGTAGATACATATGCAGACTCAAAAACCCCACGTACCTAAAAGAAATATGTTAAAAAACTATATATAAATTGTAGGACAATGAGCAAAGATAACATGCATATAAAATTTCAAAAGAAAACTGGTTTCTAGCTACTCTGCGTCGTCATGGGCGGCCTACTTTGCCTCTTCCTTTATACTTTTGTTTTCTATGGTCAGCCGCTTTTGGGGGATATCTCCCGTATACCTCAGTTATCCATGTCATTCCAATAATTTATTTTTTGAATTTTTATTTTAATGCTAAGGCTGAATTCAGTTAGTTTGGAAACTTTTTAGAGGAATACAATATATTACCGGGGCATTTGGCATGCACTTCATACCATATGCAGGGATGAAGGTTTCTTTGGCTTGTACAAAGGACTCGGAGCAACATTATTGGTATATCTTCATCTCTTGTTTTGCTTCTTTTCATCTCTGGTTTTCTTTTCTCTTGCTGTTTGATAACTCATTTCATTTTTTTGGGTCGTCGCAGGGTGTTGGACCCAGTATAGCAATAAGCTTTTCTGTTTACGAGAGTTTGAGATCCTATTGGCATTCCCAAAGGTGAGAACATAGTTGTTGAGGGGCTGATGTATAATTTATTTAATATTCTAGTTTATGTCCTAATCCTCATTATTCTTGAGAATCACAATTTGATCTCTATCAGGCCCAATGATTCTGTTGCAGCAGTCAGCCTTGCTTGTGGCAGCCTTTCGGGCATTGCATCATCAACAGGTGATTGTGCTGTACTATCTGAAATGTATATTTTATGGAAGAATTGCAACATATTTCCCCAATTTTTAGTGTTTGTAGCAAATTGCTCCTCAATCTTTAAAATTAAAGAGGAAATAGGAAAAAAAGAGAAGACGAAAGGAAAAGGGAAAAGACAAGAACCTTCGCCAACCCACTCAAGGTTGTTTGGATCTTAAATTGGATCGTATCGGTGGAGGGGTCTTGCGGATTGGATCGAGGATTGTAATAACCTGCTAATGAATGATCTGAAATATTGAAAAAGATAAAAATAAAATTTCTAAGAACAAACTAACAACTATAAGACAAACAATAATTAAAAATAAAAAATAAATTCAACTGCTGTCTACAACAAGGATTTTTGTCAAAGTAACTATTCAGACATGATGCTAAAAAAGGTCTTATCTTTCCGAGCTTCTCTTCGTGCAGATATATCAAGAACATCCAAATAATTGCTTGGCTGTGGAGGAACTGTATCCTTGTTTTCTGTTATCCATTCATCAATCATAAGAGATATCATCAAAACGCACTAGTGCTATTCTTTTAGCGATCCTAGTGAATTGAAGTTATGTATACCATCTGAATTGTTTTGTCTTTTTAGGATTGTAGGATCGTGCGATCTTATGATCCAGATCGCTATTTTGATAACCATGCACTCACTTCCCTGCAACAAACCAGCCCTGCCACTCAGTAAAGCGTATCACCTTTCGCTGCTCTCATCTCTGCCCCTAATTTTGGCTTCTTGCACTCCCAGTTTCCTGTCCCCCACCCGTCTCCAAAACCCACCTCTCCTGACTTTGGGTTTCTGGGCAGTTTCCCCTGGTTTTGGGACCCAGTCCTTCCTGGTATATTTTAGTTCTACGACCATGTGACTCTGAGGGGATGTATGTTGAAGGATTTTTCTCCCTGGTTTATTTGAGAGAGGAAAATACTTTTTATTTTGTTTTATCTTTTAATGAAAATAAGTGTAGAATTGTCCTTTTAACTAAAAAATGGACAGAAACAGTCCATGAAGACAACTTATGCAACTACATTGAAAGGTTGGGGACTGTATTATGCAGTTTTTCCTATTGCAATCTTTTATATTTTATAATATATCTTGTATCTGGAAAGGTATCCTTATTCTTGTGTTTACATGTTCACCGTGTTAAGAATTTGGTGGACTTTCCTGATTTGGAATTTTAGAATTCAACTGAACCTCTTGTGGGTCTACATAGTTTAGTTTAACACGTTTCTGATCATGGTGTCTGAAATTACTGTTTACAATTAGGGAATCACAAGAATACTTGGATACTGGTTGAGGTGAATTTTGAACCCAATTTGCTTGTATAACTTTGGCCAGCTCTGTACACGCACAAAGGGAAAGTGTTAATAAAAGGAGGCTTTAAATTAGGATCTAATATAATTGGTCGTCCCACTAGAAAGCATTTTATGACATTTTTGTTTGTTTACGCGTAATGCGTTGCAGCAACATTCCCTTTGGATCTTGTGAGGCGAAGAATGCAATTGGAAGGGGCTGCTGGTAGGGCCCGAGTGTATAATACTGGGTTGTTCGGGACATTTAGGCACATTATCCGTACTGAAGGCTCGCATGGTTTGTACAGAGGGATTATGCCTGAATACTACAAGGTCGTTCCAAGTGTCGGGATTGCTTTCATGACGTATGAAACACTGAAGAAACTACTGTCACAAGGGCCTTTTAGTTCTTAATCTTTGCATCTGGCTAAGGATCTTCCTCCATGAAGTTTGCAATTGTTTCACCAAGCTAGGATGTGCAGTAAGGATCATTTTTGGTTAAAATATAAGGCAATCAGAATTAGTATGTAAGTTTTCCTTGTGTTATTGAAAAAATTTTGTGGTGGTAAATTTTATGGTGGCTACCATGAACAATTTTTCGATGTGTAGGCTACTTGATAGCATTTTTTCTCGTGTCAGTTTTATCATTCGTAATATGTTTTTGTTATTTTTATTGTTCTAGGGTCACTTTTATCTTTATAAAATTTTGTTGCCTCTTTTTGTTTCCTATTCAAATTGTCTGTACTGATTTTATTCCTTGAATTATAAAGAAAGCACAGTACTATTTCCAAGTTGTTTTTGATGAGATGATGATGTTACCAATCCTGCATAGCATAATGCCAATAAAGTGGGGAGTGCAAGACAAAATCTGAGGTAATGCAAATGGAATCATCTTTCAGTGTAAAATGATACCCTATTCTACTTACTAGGCAGAAACAAACATGGCAGCACAGACCAGGTCGTCTAGCTGGGCAAATACCCCTAGAATTTTTTTGGATATTTACTACAGGCCTTCCACAGAGAATTGTTGAAAAAATAACGAAACAGATTATGAATGGTACATTATTAGGCAGCTTTGTGCAGAACTCCTACAGCTTCTTCCTTGCTTTGGGACACATCTTTCCCATCTTTGAATACGAGAAATTCCATCATCTCCACCCGGAAGAAAATGAAACTTCCACATAAATGTGTAATGCAAGAACCGAAGTCTGTGCCAACCACACAGTGCCATGCTGGTCCATAACATTTATCAAAATTCTGTACAACACAAAGCAGCTTATTATTATGACAACCCATACAGTGCAATTACCGTCCTCGACTCAAAATTCTCACTACAAAGGCAGGTCTCTCAAGAGCTATGTAAGACTCAAAAATAGTCGTTGCAATCCACCTAGTTTTAAATTGGGTGATTTAACAAAACTGAAAGTAGCTCCAGGTCTCCTCATCCACGATGAGGGTGGGGTCCGAGACTCTACAAAGAAAGTGCCCAATATGCTTATAACAAAAATGATTTCCTACTTATGGTGGGTAGGATAAAATATGCCCCCAGTTGATGTGGCTACGCCATGTCAACGGTCAATCTACAATTTTTAACAGTTCAATGTTGAATTGTCAAAAATTGTAGATCCACGTCAGTAGTGGGCAAGATAACTCCTACCCACGTTGAATTGTCAAAAATTGTAGGTTCACGTCAGTAGTGGGCAAGATAACTTCTATCCACCACGGGTAAGAGATCATTTCTCTTGCTTATAAAGCTTAATGGGAAGTAGTCGTCATAAATCCATCATGATTACTTCGTTTTGTTGGTAAAGTGTAAACAGAAGTTCCACGCCTACTAGACACGGGGATGGTCCTCGGTTTATAAAGTAATTGGGCAACTCTTCCTTTACATATTAGTCTTTTGGGATTGAACCTTAAGTCTCAACAGTCTTGGACTGTTTCATTGCTACGATTTTTATGAACATTAGACAAGAACTTCACGCAGTCATATCCAATACCACGAGTGTTAGACGATAATAAATACCTGTTTAATATAATGAGCTATGGACTGACAATCAGCAACTTCATGTAGATCCAGAGCCTGATAAGCCAACTCCATAGCATGGCTCTTCATTGCATCTGGCATGTCTGTTTCGCGAACTATTGCTTTTCCTTCCAACATTTTCAGTGGTAGTGTTTTTTAAAGATTCTTTATGCTCTGGTTGATGTCTTTATTTTCTGATTTATTGGTGCTTTATATTATAATGAGGAATTTGCAAAATAATATTTGTGGACATTGAACGTGTGTAAATGGTTTCTTTAAACATTTTGATTTCTTACTTCCACAAAAAATCTAATATAGTTTTTTGGAGTCAAACCTTGAGTGGCAAATCTCGTAGTCAAATTAGGCCATGGCCTAAGGTAAATGAGAAGCATTCTCAGATTAATGGGACTGAGTTCGAGCTTTCTTTTGGGAGGAGGGGCAAAATAGAGTAGAAAAATAATAAGAAAAGAAGAAAGAATCTCCGAGCCGAGTCAACAAGGTCGATTAGTTAGTCAGATACTAATTCAGAGGCCCAGAGCCACAAGAAAATTTGATGAAGTTTTGGCTCAATTATAAAAGATTACTTGCCACACGTTTATGTCTATCTTATATATATAGACAACGACTG